GCGGGGGCTTCGTCGCGCGTAGGCTGCGACAATTAGGGCAGATTTGAGAGATGCCGGCTTTCTTTTGGCCGAGGAAAAATGTTCCTGGATCCCTCTCCAGAAGCTCATATGGTTAGACCATGAGATCGATGTGAAAGAGTTCGCACTGAACGTGACCAGGAGTAGGGAAGTAAAAGCGCGCAATACAGCTAGTGGTTTACTTCTTAAGAGGGGTCCCTCCTTGCTAGACAGATTGAGATGACGAGGTACGATTGTCTCTATGTATCTCGTTATCCCTCCAGATAAGGGGCGTCAGTGGAGAGCGCGGTCCCTGAGACCTTGCTATGAAAGAAAGGGCAGGCAGCGCGTTATCGTTCTCTCAGGCAGAGAAAGGCGAGTTGAGGGATTGAATAGCTTTTCTTGAGTTTCAGAGGTATTTCAATAGAGAATACGATACAGTTACAGTACAGTATACAGTACAGTTACAGATAGAAATAGAAGTAGTTACGGAGCGCGTTCATGGCTTTTTCAGATGCCTTCAAGTTCGAAGCAGCATCCTTTTATTTCCTGATTATAATTCCAGAATCGTTTGTTCGCCCATTTAGCCTGAAAATCTGGAAGGAGGGTCGAGCACAGCCAGAGAGCTCTTCGCAGTGCTCCTAGGGTGGCTTTCAGACTTCATTTGGAAGGGGAAGAAGCCGCATGGCATCGCGATAACCAAGCGGCAATAGCCATATTAGAAAAAGGAGTACAAAACCAGAGCTTCAAAAGTTATCGCAGCAGATCTAGTTCCTTTGTGATCATATTTCGCTGGAAGCGGGACTTTTCTGATTGACCAGAACATTTGATATGGCAGCAGACGTGGCATCCCGGTTATTAGATTCAGACGACTGGTGCGTAGGAGACGAAATCGACTGGTGCGTAGGAGACGAAATTTTTCGGGAATTACAACAAGTTTAGGGAGTTTGTACATAGACATGTTTGCTAGTGATCAGAGTGCTAAGTGTGAAATTTATTTTCAGTTAGTTAGATAGTTCCCTCCTCACGCGTTGGTTGAAGACGCCGGATCCTCGTTGCTGGTGGAGCTCAGAGTTCAAATGGTTGGTTCCTCCTTCTAATCTCATCCAGAGAACTATCAAAACTGCGCTGGATCGCGGTGCAGGCATTTTGACTTTTCCTTTATGGCCTTCATATTTGTTCTTTGCTGCTCTTCGTCAAGGGAACGAATGGATTCCAGAAATAAAGGATATCAAGATTTCCCCAGCGGTTGTCCACTACTTAAAGGCAATTCACCCTCGTTCATTTTTGGCAGGAAGCAAATTAATTTTGATTTCGTGTTTTGCAAGTCTATTTGCTGACCCTCAGGCTTTAACTTTCCGTCATCCTGTAGAAATTCAAAGCATAGATTCTGCCGTAGCTTCATCGGAGGTAAAACTCACCTATCGTGCGCAGAATCACTATTATCACACGAAAAATAGAGTATGCTGTATCTATCATAGCTCAACGAACTACCATGTACGTTTATAACTATATTACTTTTTAATTCTCCGAACTAATCTAGTATGATCAAGTTTCTTGCTTGACCACTATCACAGTATCAGGCAATCGGTAAGGGCGCGAACTTATCTTGTAATGCGTTTTCTATGCCGGAGCACTTCGCTTGGTCGCTTTGCGCCCTCGCCAAAGGCCCGACGCCAAAGTACCCTACGTCACCAAACTCGCTGAAAACTTACAGACACAATGTCATAACCGCTTGGTCTGAAACTGCTTGGCAGCACACTCATACTTGTGCCTGGCACGCTCCTTCATCCGCAGCGATCTAGAGTTACTTTCATTTGCTCTGAAATAGATGGTTATTGTCTAACCAGTTTGGCTGACGCACACTACTGCGCGTCCGGCCGGGCTGATTGCTGATAGGATTTCTGTGCTGACCACTAACACTTGGCTTGATTCCATGTCTCGAAGTACGGCCTACTGCACCATATTTCACCTTTTTAATGAACATTTGCCAATGTCTGATGCTTATCACGTTTCTAAAAACACCCACCATTTGATGGAAATAGGGCAATAGCGGTTGAAAGAAGTTCGGTGGTAACATTATCCAAGTCTTGGTGGAAGCTACTTATTTCCTAGCGTTTCCGTTGAGCAGCTTTCAGTCCGTCTGCTGGTGGCCCTTATCACTCCTCACTGACAAACATCTTCGAGCTTTTACTTTTGGAAGAATCTTTAGAGTTTAGCGGTTGAATCAATTTGGTCTATATAGCTCAAGGATAGAAAGTGCCTGGCTCACCAAGCCTTTGCTCATCGATTCCTGGACCACAGTGGTGAAGCTCAATCGCAAGCAGAGTAGGGAGGGGGACAGATACTACTGTAGCCTTGTCAGGAGCAATATCACAACATGCCTCTAGCCCACCAAAGTCTCCCACCATGTTCGCGAAAAACGTCTGAATCACTTGCTGGAGGGTAGTTTCCAGTGTTGCTACGACTCGTGTTGTTAAGGGCTGTTGTGTCCTATCAGCTGTTATAACGTCCTGCCACCCACCGATAAGGTTCCCATCCTGCCCCCTATCGTGGAAACGACACCTTACCGTCGCTGTGGCGCAATTTATAATGTTGTTGAGCTTCCCTTTGTAAGGCCTCTTATGGTATCTTATCAGCTGTTATCACTGCCTGCCACCCACCAATAATGTTCCCATCCTGCCCCCTGTCTTACTACTTGGATCCAAGGTCCCGTCGTTGCTCTGGCCGGTGCTATGAATTTGGTGACCCTCCCCTTCTAGAACCCCCTGTGCTATCTCAGCTCTTATCAGTTCCTGCCACCCACCGAAAATGTTCCCATCCTGCCCCCTATCTCTCTACTTGGATCCAACGCCCGGCCGTTACTCTGGCCGGTGTTATGAGTTTGGTAACCCACTCTTTTTTAAGGCCGCGTTCATAGCTTGCGATCGTGAAGAAATGCCGAAACTGCAGAAGTGCGGAATCTGCAGAAATGCCGAAAGTGCGGAATCTGCAGAAAAGCAATAGATACGTATCGATTTGAAGAAAGTGAAGAAATGCCGAAACTGCAGAAGTGCGGAATCTGCAGAAATGCCGAAAGTGAAGAAGTGCGGAATCTGCAGAAATGCCGAAAGTTTCTTCAAATCGATACGTATCCACTTGCTTTTCTTCGACTTTGCGCCACGTCATCAGATTCGGCACTTCTGCAGTTTCGGCATTTCTTCACTTTCTTCAAATCGATACGTATCTATTGCTTTTCTGCAGATTCCGCACTTTCGGCATTCTGCCAGATTTGTCGCGACTTAGTTCGGCATTTCTTCACGATCGACCGAAGCTAAGCGCGGCCTAGACTCCTCATAGGGTATCTTATCAGCCGTTATCCACTTCCTCCGACGCCACACGGGGCGTGCAAGTGTTCACAATAATGTTCGCCAACCGTCTAATGTTGCTTCTTGATCCGACGTCCGGTCGTTAGTCCTCTGCGCGACGCTCAGAATTTGGTGACCCTCCCCTTCTAGAACCCTGTGCTATCTTATCAGCTCTTATCAGTTCCTGCCACCTACCAATAGTGTTCCTGCCCGACCCCCTACATCACTTATCAGTTTGAGCGCTCTCCCGTCTTTTGAAGGGAGTTATGAGAGTTCCGGTTAACACACCGACACACGACACACACACACACAACTCACAACACAGACCCTGAGCCACACACCACACACACACACACACACACACACACACAACACATCACGACACAGCCACAGACACAACCACCCATACACACACCACAACTCATTAGGCGATTATATTATAACGGACAATACATATCTATCAGATCTAGCGGATTATATAGTAGGATAATACATATCTTATCAGATGTAACTCTGCATAGCATTGCATCCATTTCAAAACTGTACTACGATAGTGTCCTGACGTGACTGGTTTACGAACTATTCAATATTTAGAAATGAATTCGAAGAAAATCTCACGCCTGTTGATAAGATATGTATGTCAGTGAGCGCTCAGGTGAGCTGCATTCGTATGTTGTTCTACAGCAAAGATGGTGAAGTTAATCATGCGCAAGTAAGTCTATTCCGCATTCTTGTTGAGGCAGGTCATCAAGCGGAGATGTCAGTGATAGGTGAGTTTTGTGCAAGCGCTTGTTCGCTATGCAGACAGAGCCCTTCTTCTCTGAAAAGGTGAGCCTCATTGTGTACAGTCTCGTTCGCTGCGTATGATGGGGCATACAAGGTGACGGCATTTGGCGCGGCAGCATCCTTACTTCTTTTTTCTCTCGACAAAGAAGACTCTATCACATCAATGGTGTCAGTCATTTTCCACCAATTGTTGTCACTTACTTACCCTCCTCAGCGACTGGTGGATATCTGGCGCAAAAGCAGCCGCGCTAACACTCCCATCATTTGCAGCGATCCAGACCATAGCCATAGTTTTACACCAATTCAGTTTGATTCTAATCAGTCTTCCTCCACCTGAAACAAAGCCGTAGCGTGTCCTCAACCGGAAGCGTATCTGAGCTGTTGGAAAATGAAACTTGTCTGAGTTGCTGAAAGATAGACGACTCTACTGAAGACAATTATTGCTATCAACCAGTTTGGTTGACGCGCACTACTGCGCGTCGAACTATGGTATTGATCAGTGACAGTATTTCTGTGCTGACCACTAACATGTGGCTTAATTCCATTTCGAAATACGGCCCATTTCATCATATTTCACCTTTTTAATGAACATTTGCCAATGTCTGATGCTTATCACATTTCTAAAAACACCCACCATTCGCTGGAAATAGGACAGCTCAGCGGTTGAAAGAATTTTGATGGTAACAATATCGAGATCATAGTGAAATGTCCTCACCTAGTACTTCCGTTGAGCAGCTTTCACATATCAGTCTGGATGTGGCTCTTATCATTCCTCAGTGATTAACAACTCCAGGCTTTTACTTTTTGTCGGGACTCGAGAATTTAGCGGTCGGATCAATTATGACTACTATATCGCTAAAGGATAGAAACTGCTTGGCTCACTAAGCCTTTGCCCATTGATTTTTGGATCACGGTGGCCAAGCTCAGTCGCAAGCAGAGACGGGAGGCAAACAGGTTCTGACTCTTGTAAGCCCTTGTCGGGCACTATATCATAACTTATGTCTCATCACTGGAATCTTCCACCATGTGCCCAAACCACCTCTGAATCACTTGCTGGAGGGCAGCTTCCCAGTGTTGTTAGGACTCGTGCTATGAAGGGCTATGGTGTCTTATCAGCTATTATCACGTCCTGCCGATAACGTTCCCATTCTACCCCCTATCTTACTCCATGAAAACAAAGGAAGAGTTTCAACTTTATAACGCCGCTGTGACGCTCGTTATAAAGTTGAGACTCTCCCTTTGTGAGGTCTCTTATGGTATCTTATCAGCTGTTATCACTTCATGCCTCCCACGAGTACCCATCCTGCCCCCTATCTTACTTCTTGGAAGCAACGTCCCACCTTTGCTGAATCTAATGACCCTCCCCTTCTATGACCCCCTGTGGTATCTTATCAGCTCTTATCATTTCCTCCACCTACCAATGGTGTTCCTGCCCGACCCCCCAATAACCTTATCAGTTATGGCGTTCTATCGCCTGTTTTGAAGGAAGTTATCCGTTCAAACACGCAACGACACACACACACACACCAACAGACAAACTTAGCGGTTTATATATAACCAGCTTGGCTGACGCGCACTACTGCGCGCATGGTTCAACCTATGGTACTCCTTACTGACAGGACTTCTGTGCTAACCACTAACACTTGGCTTAATTCCCATGCTTCGAAATACGGCCCATTTCATC